GGATAGTTTGTAAGATAAATATAATAAGGGACATTTCGTGCAGTTGTCAAGCTATTTATGCCGAATGAAGGACTTTAGGGTGTTACATTCCGTTCGGGACGGTTTGAGTATTCTAGTATTAAATTGTCTGTGATTCTAATGGTCAAACTCAAAGAACATCATTCAGTTATATATGTGTGTTATACAGGGTGAATAAAAAGTCAAGACCCCCCCCCCTCTAATATTTTTCCAAGTAAATATACAGAGATATCCTTTTGGTAGTAGTGCAATCTTAGCAGGAAGTTTCATTTTATGATTTTGAAATTTTTGAGTGTCCCCCCCAAAAGGGGGGATTTGGGGGGCAACTCAAAAATTTTAAATGTAAACCCCCTTCGAGTGAAGTGTAAACCTCATTTTGAAGTGTTTATAAAAACTTAACGAATGGTGAAAACCAGAGTTCGCTATCTCTTCTCTGTCCAAAATGGTAGCCAATATTACAATTACGAACCAAAATTACCATTGATTTTCCAAACATTTGACGGGCTACCATTTTGGATAGAAAAGAGATAGCGACCTATAGTTTTCACCATTCTTTAAGTTTTTATAAACACTTCAAAATGAGGTGTCACTCGAAGGGGGTTTACGTTTAAAATTTTTGAGTTGCCCCCCAAATCCCCTCTTTTGGGGGGACACTCAAAAATTTCAAAATCATAAAATGAAATTTCCTGCTAAGATTGCACTACTACCAAAAGGATATCTCTGTATATTTACTTGGAAAAATATTAGAGGGGGGGGTCTTGACTTTTTATTCACCCATGGTGTGTACAGAGTTCTACATCTGCAAGTGTTTATTAAAATGGATTTTTTTTATAAACTAAAAAATATTGGACCAGGATGAACCGGGGTGCTGGTGGATGGTTAACTATGAAATATTCACTGAAGGGGTTCAATATACTGATTTCGTTCGAACAACAAACAGCTTCTACATTACTTAGTCACTGTTTTAATACATTTTGTACGTTCAAGAAATTTCATGGTGAAAAATTCTGCTTCTCAGTTAATTCCTGAAGAAATTATTCCTGATTTGCAAAAAAATCTTGCAACACAAGCAAACCTTGATAACCTAAACACACCTTTTTCATACATAGGCCTACTTTGTTGTCAATCAGTTCATATTTTGTGTTCAGGATTACAGCTTCTTGCCTTAAATGTTACAACGTTTTCACGTACAGGCTCGTGAAGGGTTAAAGGAAGGGTTGTGTCTTATTTTGAAGGACCTTGGGCCTTCAAAACTAAATTTTATATTTTGGCGAGCTACGCTCTTTTTGGTGTACGACTCATAGATATGAACCCAGACAAATGCCAGACTTATGCTTATACAATATAAGTTTACTTATGTTATCAGGGTTTTATATGCAATGGAGTCTGGAGACATAGAAATACGATTTCGACATTCCAAAACCACACGGCGTCGGATTAAGGGGATGATTGAGGCTCTTGTTTGGATTCGAACATGGACAGAAATCCCATTCTAGTGGTTTGACATGTACAAAAATCCCCTTCCCACAGCTTGTTCAGTGCCTTATCCGGTTGGATTGGACATAAAACTATTTTTAATTAATTATTTTAAAAACACATACTTACTTTGATCAATAAAAAATATGCAATATATTACTGTAGTTTAATTAATACTAGTAATTGTATCAAGGAACATTTAGAATGGAATTAATATCACTACGTAACTACATCGATAGTTAAACTATTGAAAAATGTACGATCTAATATTAATTTCACCAAACAATTAATTTAAGGCGCTAACCTCAATTTACAATGGTTAAAATTTATTAATTAGGTACCGTAATAATATATTCTAGTTGAGAATGGAAATGGCTTTGGTTAGTTTGCAACTGTATGTATGGAGGACAAAACAAATTTTGACATATGCGTCAAACAAACCTAACGAAATTGTACCCTCATTTCTCTAAGCACTGTAATATTGTAATAACTATTGTAGGTTCATGATGGGTTCATCACATGTTTTGGGTGTGGTTACCATCTCCCATAAGGAAATGGAATATACTTCTTCATTAGCTTGTACTAACACCTATGACCCTTTGTTTCAAGTAAATGCTTACCATTTTTCGAAACTGACATTTACTCTCTCGTGTGTATAGGTTCATAATTTTGTACTTATATTCTACTACTAATGGCCTCAGATCAATTGTTCAATTGGTTCCACACGAAAGATTAATTTTGACAGGCTATTAATAGAAAAACACAAGGTTGATAGTTACAAGTTATTGATTTAGGTTGAGAATCGGAGCTAAGTTTATGAAAGATTTGTTCAGGTATATCACATATATGCGAATTATATGACATTCACAGTGTATAATTTACAGTAAGCAAAACTGTGTTCTAACTATAAATATTGTATATGGTGATTTAAGATTATCTAACCATTTTCATCTATTTTCACTCTCCAGTGTAGAGACAGCATAAGAGACGGTCTTTCTTTATTCTGTTTTACAGGCCTTTATCGCATTAATATTTTGCCCTATACACTGATGAAACTTAATTAGTTCAAAAATCTCTTGTTATGAAAGTAAATATAATATATATTCTTAGATAATAGAGCTGCAATGAATCAGAATTATACTACTGTAATGATTTGTTACTAACGTAGAAATACGTCTAAGAAACAGTTCGTTCGTCAAAAGAAGTTAATCAAGAAGTTGTGTAAGTTGACAGATTGTAAGGGACGGTCGCCAATACGACAAATCACTCCTCATGAAATTTGTTCTGACAAAGTATTCAACTTTTACAAGATCTCACTGGAATGTCAGAATATCAAGAGAATATAATAGCTTTTGGCGTTATGTCGGAACTGTTGTAGTGTTGTAATAACGACATTAAAAAGGTGGCATTTTTTCAGTAATTTGACTATTTGGAAATGTGATTACATCTGTTTCGTAGCTACAGTACTAAGATCTTAATTTTATGTTTAACTCCTAATTTTTCTAGACGACCCTACAAAAATTTACAAGTCATTTAATAAGCATTTGCATATTCGTTTTGCTAACTCAGTGCTATATTTGAACTTTAATTTTGTATATAGTTCAGCCTATCTATGTGTAAATTTCGATGTATTTTCAGTGGTGATAAGATTTAATCGAGAGTAGTATAATCAATTTTTGGGCCACGATGTTGAATTAAGATTAAAGAAGGAGCATGATATTTTTAGCATATTCCACTTTTGAATTCTTATACGATTTGTTTCCAGACCACGGTTAGCCAGGTTGGGTTCTGTAATATCTGGTAATTAATAAGTACTTAATTTATACTTAGCATTATTTATTCATTTGGTTTAAGAACTGCGATTAAACAAATCAAAGGTGAGAACCATCCTAATTGTCAGAGTTATGAATGTTGAGCCTCAGGCGAAATGACTGTTTTGCCCCAAGGAATGTGCAACGTGTGTCATTGTTGGGAGAAAGGGTGACCTTGGATACGCTGAATTATCCTGCCAATAGTCAAATGTGGTGTTATAGTCGACCTAAAACTGCGTGAGGGACCTTCACATACCGTGTCGGTTCCATTTTGTGCGAGCTATTTCAGTTTAGAAATAATGTTTCTATTACGACTCAAACTGTTTGACCTGTATTTGTCCCAAATTCAATTTTTTTAGCCCCTGAACTGCTTAGTCTAGACTAAAATAAAACATACCTCATAAATGTTGGTATAAACATGCCCTTTGGTATAATGTTTCAATGTTTCTGTGTACCACTTGAAAATGCCAACATGGCGAAACATGTAGTGGATTTAAAAAAACACACTATTTGAACTGCAAGACGTTTTATTTTAGTCTGTATTTGTCATGTAGAAAAAATTATGATTAAAAAATGAATTTCAGTTATTATTATAACTAAGATAAATGAAAATATTCCACCACATCGAACCTGCAGACTTAGCGATTTCCCATTTACCTAGTTGGATTTTCAAAAAAATTATTCCCTTACAAAAATCAGATGTATTTTCGTAAAATAAAATAGAATAACAAATAAAATTTACTTTCGTAAAATCAACGTTCACCAACCTATAAAATCTGCAGCGCAATTTCACCACCACACCAATTACTACTTCAGACAGATATTGGCTCTTGTATACATTATTATACAATTTGATATCATTGTAGACAGCCAGATAATGCTAATTTCTCTATCTGACTACAATAATAATCACACCAAATTTAGTCCGGCAGTTGTGTCTTTTCACAGCCCGAAATTGTTTTTCACAATGCTTCAGGCTAGCTAGACCTGTGTCTTAAAATTGGCAACTACCACCTTTAAATAAGCTTGCGATAACGTAATATCAGCCCCTGATTCCACAAATCAGCTGTTGTCGTTAAATCAGAATCTGATGCAGTTCTATCAGCGAGCCGCTGTAAACACTCGATTTTGGACACTTTCCAAAATAGAAACACGACTTTGCTCAGATTTCTTGTTATTGGAGGTGGCGCCGGCCCCCTGTTTTTACTCAAAGCTTTATTGCGTTCAATTTAATTTATTTAAGCAACAACTTTACTTTGCAATAAATAATGTGTAACACAACAAAATTAGTTTGAAAACAGTATGGTAATACGAGTCATCCTCATTGTAATCATTGTTGTAGAATGACTGTCATCGGTAAGGTGCTTGCAACTAAAATTGTGTATAACTTTAAGATTTTAGGAGACTTAAAAACGAAAATCGAAAGTCCCTTTCATCATGAAAAAATACCAAAAACAGATTTATTTCTTTACATTATCTAATGTTAAGAGTAAGTAGGCGACCAACTACAAGAGTTCTAACTAAACCAGTTGCGCTTTTGTAGATTACTTTAACCTAGTAAATCATGTAATCAATATAAGTTTTGGTAACCGCAACTTGATTGGACGAATTAGTCCTCAATAAAAATGCTTTTTACCATACGACCTTGTAAGTGTAACGATATATTATCTAAATTACGCATTTTGTTTGTTGCAGGACAAACTGTTGACGAAATTGGAAGAGAATGAACCCGAACTCGCAACATCTCAGGAGGATGAGGTATGTCAACACTAGCAAGTTATCGAGAGCCGAGAGCATTTTTATCAAAATCAAGTTGGCATTTAGTGACATTGTTTTACTAATCTGTAAATGCTACTAAGAGCAAAGTTCAGTGCATGCTACCGAGTTGTTGTCTGTCAGAGTTACCTGGCGGTTATACTTTGCGTATTGTTAGGAGAGAATACTAAATACAGAACTATACTTACGATTTGTGTGTGCACGTTCTTATTACAAAAGTAAATCAATTACATTGTTCGTGGTGGAGCACTTGGTATGCACGGATCACATGGAGAAAGGATAACGGCATATAGGCCTACCAGGTTTCACTTTAGGATTAATCTAAGATAGTCGACATATTAAGAATAATATTGGATCACCTTTTTACGAAACTATATTTACAACCCTTATTGGCCGTATGCTTTACAATATTATACTAAAAACCCGTGGTACAAACGCTATTTTTCACCACACTAAACAAAATTGAGAATATATATACAATAAATAAATTATATGTTTCACCACATTACGACGTTCTTTGCCGTTTTACAAACGTTAATTGGAGGCTGAAGCTGAAAGCTACGTATTGCTGTCCATGCCAGCTGTCGTCGTCATTTGGGGGCCGAGCAGGTTTTTACATCCCTGGGACCGAAAATCAGCTGTTCACTTATTTACTTAAAACATACACAAGCTGTATCCATAAACATTGCAATGGATAAAACTTGTTTTATTGTCACCGCTGTTTAGAAACCATTTATGGTATTACTATTTTTACTGATTCCTCTAAATATTTCTTCTCAAAACCTTTAAGTTGCAGTTATGTTGACTGTTAGTGTGCCTATTGTAAAAATTTTCTCAATTTTGTATAGTGTGGTGAAAAATAGCGTTCGTACAACGAGCCGAAAGGGTTTTGCAGCTCTCGATCGTTTAAAGTTCTTGACTTCGTCTTAACTTAAAACTTCGTCAAACTTCATTTTTGGCCCTTGATACGAAATATACTATTTCCTACTGTTTGGCAAGTATTGTTTTTATCAAACCGTCAAAATTAATATATCGATGAAATTTAGTCGGATTTTTAGGTTAAATTATATAAAAAGTACGGTAATTACCGAAACGATAACGTCAACAACTATTTAGATTAAACCACACCAAAATCGTCCTCAAAATGTGAACAGCCGAGTTTGGTGATATCATAAGCTCCATTGGAACAATTTTCTACGGTCTATTTGCCTAATTATTTTAGTATTGTTGCATTAACTATTGTTTTACAGATATATCTAATGTTAGAAAGATAGCCTCTGTAGAATAAGACAACTCTCGCACATCTGTCAAGATAGATAAGAAGTTGTCAGGAAAGACAGATGAGTTTCACTACACGCAGAGGTTTTGCTGATTTTACTGCTTGCGATGTTAAAAAATATTCCAACTTATAGACAATTTACACCGGTTAAAATCACTTTATAATTCAACCTTAGAAAAATTAAAGTTTTTTTTTATTTTTACTAATCACTGTTTTTACATGACAATCCTGCTTGCTCTTGCTTATTCTCATTTTTCATGTTTTCAACATGTTTCAACACGTTAGAATTTAGATGAACTATTGGTTTTGTTATTTGTTACTTTGTTTGAATACTATAAATGTACCGTAGTCCGTATGCAATTGAAAATCCGATGCATACCTAATAAATTGTAAGGCACGTACAATTATTCTTAGTTACTTTTGTCATTGTATATTCCGACATATAAAAAAAATACCCCCCGCTAGAGCAAACCTGCCGACTAAGCGAATTTCCATTTGTCTGAATTGATTTTTAATTAAATCTATTTAAATAACTTTAGGTTTAATGAGTACCCATGTTTGCTGCTACAAGGAAACTAATAAAGTGTTATTTTGATAAAATATTAATAGCTGAGTATAAAATAAATAAATTTGTCAAGTTTAATTAAAATATATCCATAAACAAGCAAACTACAACATTTAACCAAATTCTCCATAAAAATAACATGGGAATTTAAAAACTACAATTATTTTAATTTTATTAGTACCTAATAACTGTACAAAAACATTTTGATATACTGAATTATTTTGTTTTTTAAGCTCTTTAAAGAGGTCTAGAGAAAAATTTGGAAATTTTGTGTTTTGAGAGTCAAAAATAAGAAAAACTAAATTTTTACCTCATAAAACCCCCTGTAAAACCCCGTTCCCAAGGTCCGATCATGCTGGTTCGCGAACTCATCCAAGTTTATCCCGCCTTACATCTTCAAACCAAATTTCATTAAAATCGGACAACAATTGCTCAAGTTATCGTGTTCACGGACATATATAACACATATATACATATATAACAATATATATATATATATATATCTATATATACAAATATATACATCTATATATACATATATAACAATTTGAATGGATGGTGTTTTTCGCCTCTGGGGACATCAAAATGAAAAAAATCGGTCCCGGGCCTAGGTCTTACCGTGCCACCTACTGTAATAGCTACTTGCCTATAGGAAATTCGCTAAAATGAAAATTTATGTCATAAGACGTAGTCTTGCAGGCAATACGGAGACTGTGACGATTTGTAAGAATAAATAAATATATGGTTTTACGTTTTGGGAAATGTTTAATTTGGATTTACAAACAAAGATTATGAAATTCTAGTTCAAACTGTATAGTTATTTACAACTTTGTGTCCCGGTATTTGATTACTTATATATTTAAGTCATAGTTTCTTTCCTTACTTCCCCCCCCCTCTCTCTCTCTCTAAAACTAACCTCAACACATGTCTTCAAATAAAAAATCACCGCAATGTGCTTGTCACAATCTGCTAAACGTAAATGAAAAGCGTCACGAAATTAACCAACACGATAAACCCGATAAAGGGGAAGCCAAAGGGACAGTTTATGCCAGAGTTGGGGTGAGGGGGGGGGGAGTTCTTTCAAAAACGACCCCGGGGCTGTCATTAGCAGCAACGGGTGGTGCAAATTGTGGCTACTCTAGACTCTACCCAGCGAACCCGTGAAACCCTTTGATACTGGCAGATTGTACATTGCGACTGTGGCGTTTATTTCATCTCCGTTCTACACCACCGACGTCGTATCTTTGTGACTGTCGCCACAGCAAACATGAATACACTGTACAGTGGCCTACTCAGTTTAGTGCTGAATTCAGTCTCAACTTACCTCAAAAGTCACTTTTATAAAATAAGTATGGAAAGAAGAAAATGTTTGTATTTCAGTAAATATTTATTCTCCATCGATTATTTTGAAACTAGTTTTAATTTATATAGTATTAATTTAACCTGAATAATGAGTCTTTGTTTTGAAGTAAGTTTTGCCTATTTAATAAAACATTTTTTACTCTGAATAATATTTTTTTTACTTGGCAATTTCAGATGTTAACATACAATATTAACATTAAATAAATTGCTGAAAAAGAAAGCTTTTAAAACAATAATTGAAACCACAATGAAATTAATAAGATGTGAAATTACCGATGTTGAAGTATTTTTTGTCTGTTGTTACAGCCAATGATAAATACATTTCAATCATAAGCCATAATGAACGAGGTTTTTCCTGGATTCCAAACTGGAGGAAATATTCATCGTTAAAATTAGTCCCTCTCATTAATTTTGTTAAAACAGTAATAGTTCGCAAAAGCAAAAATTCTAAGATTTGTTACAATTGTAAGATTTAGTTTTAAGACTTGTTAATGGCTAGGTGGGGAGCTTGAAATGAAATTACTTACCTGGGCATAAACGTAAATCTCGAAAATTGATTATTTCCCCCCAAAACAATTGCTCCTCTCTATCAATTTCAGTTTATTTATGTTTCGTTGTGCAGCGTTCCGTTCTTGTTAGATCTCAGATTCAGCTATGTTAAGTGTTTATCTGAGCCGGAGTACAGTAGCAGTAGCTAGCAGCGAGCTGGCTCGTCGTTCATTTGCATATTTTAATAACCATCACTGCGCCAACATCACCATCGCTACCGCCATGAACTCTGAGCAATGAACAGCAATGAACCTGTCTCAACTGTATTATACAAGACTGACTCAGCTTCAGTATAGGTACTTCGTGGACTTAAGTACTCGTTAAACCTAATGTCATTTGAATAGGGAATACTTTGGAAAGTTAAGATTGATCGGTGTCTCTGGACGCAAAGAAAACTACAATATTTAACATTTTTTATACTTTTCTTAACAGATATCCATTTAGGCTATTAAAAGTTAATAGATAATTATGTGGTTTTTAAATTTTGTACGTTTACTTGTACTCTGGAAATACCATTGATCATCTAAACTAAGTTTAGTTGTACAATCAGCAGTCACTAGAAATATTTTTTTTTTCACATTAAAGTAGGTTACTTCAAAGGACTAACTTTATCTAAGGACTAATTGATTGTGATCGTGCCCCGTTGGAAAGCACAGTTTAAGCAAGTAGTGTATATAATAACTCTCCAACTGGCTCTGCCTTTACCAAGGCAAAACACAGAACGTTGCTTTGCAATCGCCTGGTCCAGTGGTTACCCTGACCAATGGCCACAAATTGGTCTAATGTTGTCCGTAAACAGCTCTAGTCCGTGGAGCGAGACGGAACTGGAGGCAGTGCCGGAATTGCTGTACTCCGCTCGATCAGCTGTTTTTGTGCTTTTCTTCACCGGAAACACAGATTGGTTGGCACCTCTTGCGTAGCAGAATTAATTAACGGTGTTATGTAAGGTGCATGAATGAATGAATTTACCCAAAATTACAATGTGCTTTTATTAGGCACGTAATACGCGTACACTTGATAATAAGTTGACAACACTAAAAAGAAAGATTACTACTATCAGCTGGTGCAGCGTTTTTAATTTCGTTAAACGCTTTGTGATTTAGCCTAGCCTTAAACCTTACCGTGCTGTATAGTGTTGAAAGACTAATAATTTATATCTTTGCTGCACTCGAAAACTGTCCACACTCGCCTGCGGCTCGTGCGTTAACATTATTTCTATCATGTGCAGCTAAGTGCCACTTCGCACACTAGTTACACAAATAACAATTGTCGCATGGTTAAATTGGTGGCAAACTATAACTTTCGGCTCTTGGTGCAGAAATGTACAGTACTCGCAATGTATACTTCTCATATTCAAAAATAGCATAAACATTTTTTATCAATTGACTGGTTCGCTAAATTTATTCCTTACAAATTCATTGCCACGGACATAACACTTTATAATGCTACAAAACATTCCAGCAATACAGTATTTAAAAATGGTTCACGCAAATAACATTTCTAAATAAATATTAATTTATTGTAACCACCAAAATTGCAAAACAATATCAAACTATGCTTTTTAAACCTGATAAAGAATTGCCATTGTTGCATTTACTCAATTATTTTGATAACTCTGCCCTTTCACAACAATTGGATGTCAAGAGTTTAAGAACAAAAGGCGATCAGGTTTACGTCATGTGCGTGTCTAAAGGGTGGATAAAATCTAACTGAACAGCTGTTTGATTGTTGACCAATTACTGAAAAGCCACCCTCCCCCCAACCAATCCTTTGCCATCCCTCCTGACAGTCCAACGATTCCTGGTCAATAGAAACAACTTTGATGCATTATGTCTCAGTTGTTTCTTTGACATATTGTTCACTTTACTGTCCAATGAAATATTAACATTGTTTGTTCCTTCAAATGGTTCCGTTCTTCATTATGTATTTAGTTCAGACGTGATTAATTATACTTTAACAAAGTAATAGTCCTCGTAAAGCAGCTATTTATTTGTACCGTTGTCTGAGCTCGACCAAAAATGTAATAAGTTGTTCTTGCTTTACTTGAGAGCATTGTAAGTAAAGGGATCGTTTCCTTAATTTTTAAACCCGAAATTACCTTTTTAAGATTCGAACGCTTAAATCAGAAAATCAAATTGAAATAATTAACGTGATCAATACGCTCTGCATTTACCTCCGTTGAATACCCATTCCAGTAAACATAAGGAGAGATAATGACCATTTGTAATTACTGAATAGGAAGCGGAAGTTTTGTACAACAGGTAGATATGATGCCTGTTTGTTGTTCTGTTGTTATAGTTGCATTGTATAAGTTGTAATGACAATGGCAGTGACAAGAATATCTGTTGCCTGCCATCTTTATTGAAAAGGGGCTGTCTGCTGAGAAGAAGATATATATAATCAGATATACAGGGTGTCTAGCTTCAACTAGGACAAACTCCGGGAAATTGTTCTATGGGTCAATATAAAGAGAAAATCTTATGAGAATTTTTCCAAAATCGAAAAACGATAACCAGATATAAATAAATTATTTATATTTTTTACATAAAAATGTTTAAATTTTAAGTAATTCAACTGATCTTAATAAAACTTTGTATTTTTATTATACAGGTATTTAAAGAGGCATGTTTGGTTGAAAAAAATTAAGTTGGTCCAATTATAAGTTTCAAAATGGCGGCCGTATGAATTTTTATAGCTTAAATTACTAAAAAATTTCTAATTTATGAATAAATGCCAAGAACACTTTTATTTAGCATTTAATATTCCCTATCAAATGACACAAAGATAAAAAAGATCGAATGACAAATAACTGAAATAGAAGAACGTTTTTTAGTTGTAAAATGATGCAAAATAGTAATGGCATCCTGACTAACTTTGCCTTATTTTACACCAAAAAACGTTCTATTTCAGTTATTTTTCATTCGATGTTTTTGACGTTGATGTCGTTGATTGGGAATTTTACATGCTAAATAAAAGCGTACTTGACATTATTTCATAAAAATTAGACATTTTTTGTAATTTTAAGTAATAAAAATTTAAATGGTCACTATTTTGAAAATTCAAATTGGACTGAGATAATTTGTTCACTAATTATCAATCTCATTTTAACTACGATAAAATACAAAGTTTCATAAAGATCGGTAAACAAATTTTTAAAGGTAAAAATTTTAAAGAGAAATAAACAAAATGGAGGTCAACAAAGTGATTTTGGAAAAAGTTTGATTCATGATTTTCTCTTTATTTTGACCTATAGAACCATTACCCGTAGTTTGTACTAGATGAAGCTGGACACTCTTTATAATGCATTATATAACACAATATATCTAAACATCTACCATCTAAATGAGTTTTTGATTATACTTTATGCACTATGTATAATATATATAACGACAGCATAATTGTTATTAAGTTGTAGATGATTGTAGCCATAATCATCGATAGTAAACAAAATTGAGATAGAATAATATTGTTAAGCTATAAATACAGCTAAAGGTATATGAAGACCAGGAAAGTTCCATATCCTATTTTTTCATGCATTATGATTCTAAAAAGAGGTTCAAAACATTCTATGTAAAAAATATTACAAAAGTGACACTGAACACTTCCAATGTTTTAATTTAAACAAACCCCTTTTCCACTTCTTAACTTTGGGGGGGGGGGACACATAATAAGTTCAATTTAAATACAGTTCTCCAATAAATTGATTTGATTTAAAATTAAAATGCAAGTAGTGGGGATTGCCTGATTTCAGTTCATTTCCCCATCCCTGCCACCCTGTACAAGAGGGTGTTATTTCTCACCTTGACCTGACCTAGTCAGTTATTTACATAAATTAGGGCAAACAACCCTGCCCATGTTACAAGGAAATCTGCACCATTTAAATACCTAATAGTAATATAGTGCCCAAACAAAGTTAAGTCAAAGTTAAAGCAGTTCACTGTTATCATTGAAGAATGTTTTCGATTGTTTGACATTGCACCACAAGAACACTTAAAATACAGTAGGGCATATGTTCCAATTAGAACTAAAATAAAAAAACCTTGTAAGTCCATAGTTTTGTATTCCTAGTGTGACCATTTTTTGTGTTTAAAAAACCCTACATCAGTGGAATTATGTATAGAAGAAATCACAAATGCTAGGATAAGTGATCCAAATCCCTCATCTTTTGTTACATGCTGGGATTGAGCTTGTACCTTAGCACCAAGGTGGAGACATGAACAAAAAGTTTCTGGGTAATGGGACTGTTGGGGGTTATTTGGGTCTATTCTAATGGTAAATTAAAATGTCATCTTAATGGGCTAATGTATTAACCTAACAAATTTGTCATATTGTATTTTATAGTTTGTGAATTATTTACTTAATTCATGTTCTGAAAAAGTTTTTAAAGTTATGGGGGTATCGCTAAACTTTTTTACCATTTACTATGGCTTTACTTAGCCTTAGTCTTTACCCTTACTACACACTCCTACATTCCAGTTTTCTGTTATTTCTCTTGATTCGGATCACAGGCTATAAACGTTTGTGTTCAATCCATCCATGGACCCATCCATCCAGACACTTTTAAAGAGTTTCCACATTTACAACTCCATCTCCAGTGAAATAACCTGAGAACCGTTATAATACACCATAAATAATTAATTTATTATTATTTACTTAGGTTACACTTAAATGTAAACCTAATTGTTTGAATTAGTTCATTTGCCACTGATAATAGATATGGCACCGGTGCTGTGTTAATTTGATATTTTTGATATTATAGACTGAATCGTTTAATTTTAACTCAAATTCATTTGTTTAAAGTTTACATTTGTGTTTATGTGCTTTACTAAGTGTAAACATAAAATAAAATAAAATCTGTTAAATAATATATTACAAAAATAGTCTTTACTTCGGGTAAGAGTTCTTTGTGACCGAAGCACAGAAGTGCAATTATTGAGGAATAATTGTTCATATATGTAATGTATTGTCCAACTTTTGTTCATTGATCGTGGTTTCTTTTTTTTAAGTTATCTAAATCACACAAAATTTTTCAGTGTGTCATCTGCGTCAACGCCAAAGCCACTATGCAGACATCGCCCTGTGGCCACCGCGTCGTCTGCCGCAAGTGCTTCGTCAAGACCATCCAGATGGCGGTGTCGCAGAGACTGTTGCCGCTGAGGTGTGTCATCTGCCGGGCCAAGATCTTGCGGCTGAAGCAGTCGTCCAGTCAGTCCTGGGTGTTGCCATCATCTGCGTCTGGGTACAGGTGGGTCTTACATGTGGTTTATTAAAATCTGAACAAATGGGAGTTATTGAAAGGAGCTAGGTTGTGACAGATGCATTAGGAGTAAGTAGTTATTTTATTAAACACAGTTGTTTGTCCAGCAGCTAGATCTTGAAATGAGATATTTTAATGATTCAAATTGTTCTTTTGTATTTATATTCAAACACACTAAAACCTAATTGATTAAGCAAGTTCTGTCACATTCCTCTGTTGGTTGAGGAAGGTTTAGGATATCCAAGTAGTGTAGAAGGAAGAAGGTAGTGTGAAGGAGGAAGAAGACATAGACCTCAGTGATTTTAGAACTTATGGAATATCTTAAGGACAAAGAAAATATTTAGAAAACTGTTTTGATTTCATACTACAGTGTACAAAACACCGCAACCTCCTGTGTATGTATGTTGATGTAGATTTGTTGGTTTAGTGTACCTTCTTAAGATCACAAAGTAATTCACTGAATGAATATATAATAGAATGTAAGAATGCAATATGAGGGACACGTGTTTATGTCTGTCTGTACCTTATTAGTTTTTAGGTTCTTCCTTTTTGATTGAGGATCCCAGCACTGCTGTAAGAGTTATAGTCTAATGATAAATAATTTCTCATCAGCCTTTTATAAGTGTTTGTAAGTTTATGTTATATAACTGATGTTTCTGTTATAGTGTGGGAGGCAAGACATGGGTAGTTGCCTCCTCAGCCAGTCAGTACCACATGGCTGTACCCAACTCTGGGTCGCTCTACTCCAAGGCCTCTGGCCCTTCATCTTTATCAGCTATTGCTATTGTTATATAACTGATGTTTCTGTTATAGTGTGGGAGGCAAGAAATGGGTTGTTCCCTCCTCAGCCAGTCAGTACCACATGGCTGTGCCCAACTCTGAGTCGCTCTACTCCATGGCCTCTGACTCTTCATCTTTATCAGCTATTGCTATTGTTATATAACTGATGTTTCTGTTACAGTGTGGGAGGCAAGACATGGGTAGTTGCCTCCTCAGCCAGTCAGTACCACATGGCTGTACCCAACTCTGAGTCGCTCTACTCCATGGCCTCTGGCTCTTCATCATTATCAGCTATTGCTATTGTTATATAACTGATGTTTCTGTTATAGTGTGGGAGGCAAGACATGGGTTGTTCCCTCCTCAGCCAGTCAGTACCACATGGCTGTGCCCAACTCTGAGTCGCTCTACTCCATGGCCTCTGACTCTTCATCTTTATCAGCTATTGCTATTGTTATATAACTGATGTTTCTGTTACAGTGTGGGAGGCAAGACATGGGTAGTTGCCTCCTCAGCCAGTCAGTACCACATGGCTGTACCCAACTCTGAGTCGCTCTACTCCATGGCCTCTGGCTCTTCATCATTATCAGCTATTGCTATTGTTATATAACTGATGTTTCTGTTATAGTGTGGGAGGCAAGACATGGGTTGTTCCCTCCTCAGCCAGTCAGTACCACATGGCTGTACCCAACTCTGAGTCGCTCTACTCCATGGCCTCTGGCTCTTCATCATTATCAGCTATTGCTATTGTTATATAACTGATGTTTCTGTTATAGTGTGGGAGGCAAGACATGGGTTGTTCCCTCCTCAGCCAGTCAGTACCACATGGCTGTACCCAACTCTGAGTCGCTCTACTCCATGGCCTCTGGCTCTTCATCATTATCAGCTATTGCAACTGTTATATAACTGATGTTTCTGTTACAGTGTGGGAGGCAAGACATAGGTTGTTCCCTCCTCAGCCAGTCAGTACCACATGGCTGTACCCAACTCTGAGTCGCTCTACTCCATGGCCTCTGACTCTTCATCTTTATCAGCTATTGCTATTGTTATACAACTGATGTTTCTGTTACAGTGTGGGAGGCAAGACATGGGTAGTTCCCTCCTCAGCCAGTCAGTAACACATGGCTGTACCCAACTCTGAGTCGCTCTACTCCAAGGCCTCTGGCCCTTCATCTTTATCAGCTATTGCTATTGTTATATAACTGATGTTTCTGTTATAGTGTGGGAGGCAAGACATGGGTTGTTCCCTCCTCAGCCAGTCAGTACCACATGGCTGTACCCAACTCTGAGTCGCTCTACTCCAAGGCCTCTGGCCCTTCATCTTTATCAGCTATTGCTATTGTTATATAACTGATGTTTCTGTTATAGTGTGGGAGGCAAGACATGGGTTGTTCCCTCCTCAGCCAGTCAGTACCACATGGCTGTGCCCAGCTCTGAGTCGCTCTACTCCAAGGCCTCTGGCTCTTCATCATTATCAGCTATTGCTGTTGTTATATAACTGATGTTTCTGTTATAGTGTGGGAGGCAAGACATGGGTTGTTCCCTCCTCAGCCAGTCAGTACCACACATGGCTGTGCCCAACTCTGAGTCGCTCTACTCCATGGCCTCTGGCTCTTCATCATTATCAGCTATTGCTGTTGTTATATAACTGATGTTTCTGTTATAGTGTGGGAGGCAAGACATAGGTTGTTCCCTCCTCAGCCAGTCAGTACCACATGGCTGTGCCCAGCTCTGAGTCGCTCTACTCCAAGGCCTCTGGCTCTTCATCATTATCAGCTATTGCTGTTGTTATATAACTGATGTTTCTGTTATAGTGTGGGAGGCAAGACATGGGTTGTTCCCTCCTCAGCCAGTCAGTACCACATGGCTGTACCCAACTCTGAGTCGCTCTACTCCATGGCCTCTGGCTCTTCATCATTATCAGCTATTGCTGTTGTTATATAACTGATGTTTCTGTTATGGTGTGGGAGGCAAGACATGGGTAGTTGCCTCCTCAGCCAGTCAGTACCACATGGCTGTGCCCAACTCTGAGTCGCTCTACTCCAAGGCCTCTGGCCCTTCATCATTATCAGCTATTGCTATTGTTATATAACTGATGTTTCTGTTACAGTATGGGAGGCAAGACACGGGTAGTTCCCTCCTCAGCCAGTCAGTACCACATGGCTGTGCCCAGCTCTGAGTCGCTCTACTCCATGGCCTCTGGCTCTTCATCATTATCAGCTATTGCTATTGTTATATAACTGATGTTTCTGTTATAGTGTGGGAGGCAAGACATGGGTTGTTCCTTCCTTAGCCAGTCAGTACCACATGGCTGTGCCCAGCTCTGAGTCGCTCTACTCCATGGCCTCTGGCTCTTCATCATTATCAGCTATTGCTATTGTTATATAACTGATGTTTCTGTTACAGTGTGGGAGGCAAGACATGGGTTGTTCCCTCCTTAGCCAGTCAGTACCACATGGCTGTGCCCAGCTCTGAGTCGCTCTACTCCATGGCCTCTGGCTCTTCATCATTATCAGCTATTGCTATTGTTATATAACTGATGTTTCTGTTACAGTGTGGGAGGCAAGACATAGGTTGTTCCCTCCTCAGCCAGTCAGTACCACATGGCTGTGCCCAACTCTGAGTCGCTCTACTCCATGGCCTCTGGCTCTTCATCATTATCAGCTATTGCTATTGTTATATAACTGATGTTTCTGTTACAGTGTGGGAGGCAAGACATGGGTAGTTCCCTCCTCAGCCAGTCAGTACCACATGGCTGTGCCCAACTCTGAGTCCCTCTACTCCATGGCCTCTGGCTCTTCATCATTATCAGCTATTGCTATTGTTATATAACTGATGTTTCTGTTACAGTGTGGGAGGCAAGACATGGGTAGTTCCCTCCTCAGCCAGTCAGTACCACATGGCTGTGCCCAACTCTGAGTCCCTCTACTCCATGGCCTCTGGCTCTTCATCATTATCAGCTATTGCTATTGTTATATAACTGATGTTTCTGTTACAGTGTGGGAGGCAAGACATGGGTTGTTCCCTCCTCAGCCAGTCAGTACCACATGGCTGTACCCAACTCTGAGTCGCTCTACTCCATGGCCTCTGACTCTTCATCTTTATCAGCTATTGCTATTGTTATACAACTGATGTTTCTGTTATAGTGTGGGAGGCAAGACATGGGTAGTTCCCTCCTCAGCCAGTCAGTAACACATGGCTGTACCCAACTCTGAGTCGCTCTACTCCAAGGCCTCTGGCCCTTCATCTTTATCAGCTATTGCTATTGTTATATAACTGATGTTTCTGTTATAGTGTGGGAGGCAAGACATGGGTTGTTCCCTCCTCAGCCAGTCAGTACCACATGGCTGTGCCCAACTCTGAGTCGCTCTACTCCATGGCCTCTGGCTCTTCATCATTATCAGCTATTGCTGTTGTTATATAACTGATGTTTCTGTTATAGTGTGGGAGGCAAGACATGGGTTGTTCCCTCCTCAGCCAGTCAGTACCACATGGCTGTGCCCAGCTCTGAGTCGCTCTACTCCAAGGCCTCTGGCTCTTCATCATTATCAGCTATTGCTGTTGTTATATAACTGATGTTTCTGTTATAGTGTGGGAGGCAAGACATGGGTTGTTCCCTCCTCAGCCAGTCAGTACCACATGGCTGTGCCCAACTCTGAGTCGCTCTACTCCATGGCCTCTGGCTCTTCATCATTATCAGCTATTGCTGTTGTTATATAACTGATGTTTCTGTTATAGTGTGGGAGGCAAGACATGGGTTGTTCCCTCCTCAGCCAGTCAGTACCACATGGCTGTACCCAACTCTGAGTCGCTCTACTCCAAGGCCTCTGGCCCTTCATCTTTATCAGCTATTGCTATTGTTATATAACTGATGTTTCTGTTATAGTGTGGGAGGCAAGAAATGGGTTGTTCCCTCCTCAGCCAGTCAGTACCACATGGCTGTACCCAACTCTGAGTCGCTCTACTCCAAGGCCTCTGGCCCTTCATCATTATCAGCTATTGCTATTGTTATATAACTGATATTTCTGTTATAGTGTGGGAGGCAAGACATGGGTAGTTGCCTCCTCAGCCAGTCAGTACCACATGGCTGTGCCCAACTCTGAGTCGCTCTACTCCAAAGCCTCTGGCCCTTCATTATTATCAGCTATTGCTATTGTTATATAACTGATGTTTCTGTTATAGTGTGGGAGGCAAGACATGGGTAGTTGCCTCCTCAGCCAGTCAGTACCACATGGCTGTGCCCAACTCTGAGTCGCTCTACTCCATGGCCTCTGGCTCTTCATCATTATCAGCTATTGCTATTGTTATATAACTGATGTTTCTGTTACAGTGTGGGAGGCAAGACATGGGTTGTTCCCTCCTCAGCCAGTCAGTACCACATGGCTGTGCCCAACTCTGAGTCGCTCTACTCCAAGGCCTCTGGCCCTTCATCATTATCAGCTATTGCTATTGTTATATAACTGATGTTTCTGTTATAGTGTGGGAGGCAAGACATGGGTAGTTGCCTCCTCAGCCAGTCAGTACCACATGGCTGTGCCCAGCTCTGAGTCGCTCTACTCCATGGCCTCTGGCTCTTCATCATTATCAGCTATTGCTATTGTTATATAACTGATGTTTCTGTTACAGTGTGGGAGGCAAGACATGGGTTGTTCCCTCCTCAGCCAGTCAGTACCACATGGCTGTGCCCAACTCTGAGTCGCTCTACTCCATGGCCTCTGGCTCTTCATCATTATCAGCTATTGCTATTGTTATATAACTGATGTTTCTGTTACAGTGTGGGAGGCAAGACATAGGTTGTTCCCTCCTCAGCCAGTCAGTACCACATGGCTGTGCCCAACTCTGAGTCGCTCTACTCCATGGCCTCTGGCTCTTCATCATTATCAGCTATTGCTATTGTTATATAACTGATGTTTCTGTTACAGTGTGGGAGGCAAGACATGGGTAGTTCCCTCCTCAGCCAGTCAGTACCACATGGCTGTGCCCAACTCCGAGTCACTCTACTCCATGGCCTCTGGCTCTTCATCATTATCAGGTAATGTTAATATTCTCGTACTTAAACTATATTTCTATGTATAAATTAGGATAGGATCGAATTCAAGTTATAAAAAAATGAGTAAAGTGTAATGGTAGAATCTTGGATTTTAGTTATTGATAGAATTAGACATCAAGAGATCAGTGATCCCAGCCTATGTGAAAGCAAAAGCTAGCTTTAACATGAGAATGATAAAGTTTTATTCATCTTGAGCCACCGGTAGACTGTACTCTGATGTCAACTGCAGTTTTCTGTCAAAAACTCAAATCTTTTTAACCAAACTAAATTTAAAGTAGAACTTTGTAAATCATAGCATATTTTATGTATCATCTTTGACTATTAATCCAATAGTCAATGGTATCATTAAATAGCTAGTACTGATGAGAAAATTTAATTTTGACAGCAGTTTACTCTGCGAGTGTTTATTCATCTACCGGTATGTTCTGTATAAATAAAAAATTGGCTACCACAACCACCTATGGATGGGATGTCAACTTCAGGATAGTAGCCTATATTACGTTTACTAGTTCTTAAAATAGGTGTTTACCGGACGAGTGTGAACTTACTACTCTAAGCTAACTTGACAATAAAAAATCTGTACAAATCCTTATATTCCCACCAACTAAAGGGCCAACAATCACTACTCATAACTTTTGAGAGTTTATGTTTTTGTTTATAACCACTCATTTCCAAAAATATAATACGCTGGTTAGTGTCCGGTAAAAGCTCATTACAGTACAGTAGTACGTAACAAAACCTCATATGATAATCTGGTAGCAAACAGCTGTTTTCTGGACTAAATCCTTGGGCGGGAAGTTTGTTAAAACAGTGTATCGCGGTGTAAAAATGTTAATGATATAGCAAAGTGACAAAATTAATGTTCCAAATGACTCATTAATGATGTCTTTGATAATTTCAAACAGTCACCTGATGAATTTTACTCAAGATCTATCCAAAGACCCTCCATTTGACAGGCAAGAATGATGATCACTCATCAGCTTCCGAGCTATTATACCACTGTTCATACATTCATATATAGCAGTACAAACAAGATACTATACACGTCTGTACCCTCTGTCAGATATCAATATACCACAGGAGTCAACAAGCTGAAACATGTTGAGAGCAGTCAATTGGTCTGATGGTTTGGGTTTGGGTAGTTGATCCTGGAGGACTGACCTTAAATAAAAAAAAACCTTAAGCTGATTCAAACTTTAAATAAACCTTTTGAGCTTTAAGCTGAGGAGCTCAAACCTTAAATTAATCTTAAATTGGCCAAATCTTAAATTCAGACAAAACTGATACACAGCATGTCTCTTAGATTTAGAGAGCTGTAATTAAAGAAAAGTTTGAGGAATCCTTGCTCATATAGTATAGTGATATTCATCTACATCATGCAAATTTTACTTAAATATACACAAAAAACAATTATGGTGATAGTTGCTGAAACCATTGATAAAATGTTACACAGCTTATATTTTCCTGAGTCCTGAAGCAAATATTGTGGCACACACAATACCAATAAAATTCTTGACCAAAAAAGAATGTTATTCCTGATTACAAGGTTTTTAACTTGTATGCTAGATTTGACCTACTTTCTCAAGGAAAAGGTATGCTAGATTTTACCTAGTTTCTCAAGGTTACAAAGAAAGTCTCTGAACAGCAGAACGAAAGCACGCAATGTAAGGAACACGTGTGTGTAATGTCTGCAAGGTATAACTAAACTAACATGTTATGTCTGGGAGGTATAACTAATATTCCACCCTTGGCTATGTACATTGAATTAGCCTATTATACAGGTGATTAAATAGCTAGTACGCCTGATTACTCTGTATTTCACTTGCTAAACAGTTTCATAGCCACTGACTCGACTATCAAAGCATATTGATCATACTTCTTTTATATTTATGGTTGTTTCACTTTTAATAACTTTTAAGACTGGCAACACCTCTAATTGGTTCTAAAATAGATAAAGTGGGTTTATATATTCATAAAGGTCAATTAAATGTTAAGAGACTTATGGACAAAAGGAAAAGATATCGGTTCCGGGTCTAGGTCTTATCATGAGATCTACGGTAATAGCTTATTCCCTATATGGGAAATACGTGTAAGCCTAAAAGATATAAAATACAATTTACATAAAACACAGTAAAGTTTATAAAGATTGATCTTGTTCATAGTTATTTTAATGCATTCAAGTTTCTTTTTAAGAGGAGACGAAGGAACAACCCTGAATGATTATTAAGTGACCAAAACTACAATTTATCAATCAATACAAAAATAATATATAATAATAATAATAATTTGAAAATTGAAAGTCCACAAATTATTATCCAAAACAGTGAGGATGTCAATTTTCATACATGAATGATAATTAAACTTATAATATTATGTATAAAAGTAATCACATTCACAGACTTATCCTACAATTTTATATTAGTTTATCTAGCCTCATCTCCATCTAAAAGAGTGATAGTGATGTAATTATAGCAGGTATTAATCTAATTAAAATACATACACCGCATACACCACACTCCCAAAGTCAATGCTATCCATAAACTCTTGAGATATGAGATTCTAGTGGGGTATGCATAAAGGTTTATTGTTGCTTTGAGAGGTTCCTGTCATCAAATCAATATGTCTGCTGGATACTGAAAGGTCAAAGTTCAGTTTTGATGTATGATATTCTGAAAATGCATCAATACAAGGATGGCCAAGTAGTTGATGGATACAAGACATAACCACGTGAAGGGCAAAGATAAAATACCTCGGCAGGAACATCATTGTATTCCTTGAGGTTGGCTGTACAACCTTTCTGAAATTCAGGTACTAAATTATTTAGAATTTACTAAAAATGTTAAATTTGAATTGGTACGTACATTGAATATAATCTTGATTTGTCATCACAAAAACAAAGAATATAAGTTTGCCCACAAAAATCAGAAGACCAAAATTAGTTAATTTAGTAGGTACAGCATTATTCACCGACTGAGTTTTGATTTGTTGTACATCGCAATAGTCTTTTATGTTTGTCCAATGAAAACAGTTTTTCAGTTTCCATTGACAACTGTTCAAACAAAAGTTTTACCTCATAGGCTATTTGTTAGAAAATAAGTGGAATTTTTTATATTGCCCCTAAAAAATAGAAGAAAAGAAATAGGTTAGATGGTTACATTTTTCACATTAGTTTCTAGATTTTTCTCTAGCCTTAATCAGGAGGCAGTGATAGGAGAGAGCTCACAACAACTTCCTTTGCTAATCAACCCCTAACATATTAGACATATCCTCTTTGATTGGCAAACTATCGATAGTTTGGTTATTTATATCGTTATAGATTTATAACATGAATATTTGCAGGTGTGTCTTCCGTAAGTTCTGCCACCAACTCCAGCAGTGGTAGCTCTGGTCATGGTGACAAGTATGACAAGTACCGTTATCCTCGTCAACCCATCTCCGGTTCATTACGCAAGTCTCAGACACAATCCATGAAGGTAAAGAGGTTACCGGTACCCAATATAACCCTAGTTATTGTCATAGTCATGCATATTCTAAAGTGTCATTTTGACATTTTAAATTGATGTCCATACATAACAAATATCTCAATCAAGTAATAATTATACAATATAATAATATAACATTTGTAAGATGTGAGTATCAGAAATGTCATAAGCTCAAAACCTTACACAATTTTGAAATCAAACAAAGGTTTCATCACTTCAAATTGATATCACAGAGTAGTATGGTATAGAGGAAGGTACACTTAAGTGGTGTGTAGCACTAGTACCTGGTGTCTAGGGCACATTCCAACACATACACTGCTCCTTCGCCTATATAAGCGCACTGTCATTCTATAAGGTGTGTTTACTCTGTACCTTAGCACCTGAGCACTCATAACAACTAGTCTTTATAAGTAGCAATTACAACTCTAAAGTGCCACTGTTTCTCATAGTACCGGCTGCAGGAGTACAAGGAAGTCCCCCGGGGGGAACCACAGGAGAAGCCCAGGTTGCCTCCCATCCAGGAGTTCCAGAGGGAATACCGGGCTGGGAAGGAACGCTCCACCTCTACCAGGATACGGTTAGTCCTCTGGAAGACCTCAGATAAATTCTTTATTTAACTATCAATTATTATTCAACTATCAAATCAAACCTTCAATCAAATATATTCCAATGAAGGAGGAAGTCTCAGTTCCAGGATTGTTGTATGGCAATATCATAAAATTTGTCTCTGATCAATTTGATTTTAACAGGAAATCTATGGCAAGAATGGTTAAAAAACACTTTTTTATGTGTGGGTTGAGACAAATTTTAGAGAGAAAAGAGCTTGTTAAAATAATAGTTTTTATCACTAGGAGTGAAAGTGGCTCTTTTTGGTACGCAGTCATGTTGGAAATACAATTGAGTACCAAAAAGACTCTTTTGCTCTGTGTGACGAACAACTATTTTCATCATAGGCCTAATGTGGAAATAACCTTAAAATTGTTACAAAACTAGACCACATAATTTGAAGTTATCCAAAGTCGTCATCAATGTTTACATTATTTCTGTTGTTTACATTTCTGTTGTTTACAACCGTAACTTAATTTATTGTGTTTTGTTGTGTGTATAGTCAATGGTACCATAAAAAAATGTTCAGGTTGGCAAACCGAAAAATGTACCACACCTATGTTTTTTCTGTTCCCTATTTGAAGTTACCCGAAAACAATGATTTTGCGGAAACTTTTGAGAACTAAAAAGAGCTGTTTTCCAGACAGTGTGATTAAAAAGTATTTTTATAACATACTAAATTTATTATAAATAAATGAACTTTTAAATACGTTGATATTTTGGAGTAAAATTAGAAGCTGGTGTTGTTTAACTGCATGAATTTTCAAGGCTCTGAATTTTGTTCAGTATCCATTATTTTAATGTAATGAATTAGCCCTTATTAAATAATGTTAAAATGTGAACGTTTTTATGATAAGCCAAAAACTTTAAAACAATCATGAAATTCAATAAGAATCAATAGCATTGATCTTACTAGCACACAGAATTTTGCTTAGGGCTGGATTCCCTCCCAAAAAAAAGGAAACAAAAACACAAGCAACAAAGTAAAAAGTTGTAAATTCTGAAAAGTTGTAAATTCTGAAAAGTTGTAATATTTTCTATATGATATTTTCATTTATATAGTTTCCAATATTTATTATAACCTAGCTATTTTCCTGTTTTTCCAGATGCGCACAAAAAATAGTAACTCAGTTGGAAACAACACCACTCGTGAGCAATAACAATAAAAACAAAACGTACTTCCGTTCTCCTCTCAAGCCCACAAACAAAGAGCCAGAGAGAAAGAAGCCTCCAATAGTGATCCAAAAACCAAAGGTAAAAGAGGAGAGGCATAAGGAGGAGAAAACCAGTGACAATAAGAAAAATAATGAAGAAAACATTGATAGGGACCCAACCACATCAACAAGAGATGACAAGAGTAAAAAGATTGACAAAAAGGAAAAGAAAGAAGAGAAAAAAGAAAACAAAAAGGAAGTGAAGCAAGAGAAGCCAAAGGAGGAAAAGAAGGAACTGACCAAAGCCGAGAAAAAGGAAATAAAGAAGGAAGCCAAGGCTGAAAAAAAGAATGCAAAAAAGGAAGCTAAACTTGAAGCTAAGAAAGAGAAGAACGAGAAGAAAGAAAAGTCAGACAAAAAAGAAAAGAAAGAAGAATCTGTTAAGAAATAATTTTTAGTAATTTGTTTTAAGGTAAAAGTGACAAGCAGGTAAAATTGTTAAGAAAGAAGGTTTTTGGTAACAGTATTTTTTACATGCTATACTGATGAATGAACAGCAGAATTACGAATTTTTTAGGTCTAAAGATTTCAATTTAATAAATCTATTTTACTGCTGATATTGCCATAATATTTATATGTCTGTATTGTCCAGTTGTTCCTTCTAAAGAGTTTTTAAAACTAGGAGTGTAGTCTGTAAATTAGGTCCCATCAAGCTTCCTCCACAACCAGGTAAGCTAGTTCCAATCGGAGTGCAACTCCATATTGCTTACTTGACCCACTATGATTCTAGCCATTTCCCACCCTATGGGACGAGTAGTCTCTTCATAGTTTTCTGAAACCCCATAACAGGAAAAGAACACGCCGGCCAATTATTAATCACGTTTTGTGATTAAGTTTCTGTAGGAAGGGGGTCAATCCATGTTGATTGCATTTGCTAGTCTGACAAATGTGTAGGCAGAAAAGTGTTTTGGCTTAGAAAATATGCATAAAAGCTCGCAGAAGTGTCAGGAAGTGTGTGGAGTCAGTCCACGTTTTCCTCAAGAAGGTCGGTAGCAAATGTCCATCAGTTTATATCAAGACAGCTATTGGAATTTAGGCAACCTTGTTTGTTGAACGACATGTTTCAGAATTCCAGAGCAAGATAATCTTATAGAGACTTCTAGTTATTAGTTCGACAATCTCTCTTGGTAAACCACCATTTACATGAAAAATTCACTAGCTTCAGTCACTGCTTTAAACAAGAGTGATGAAAGACAACAGTCGACTTTCGCTATAGGTAACATTGTGCTGATTTCAAAGACCACCTACTGCACATTTCTACGTTCAAACATAATACTTCATTCATGTCTGGCAACTGGAGATAAAAGATTTAAAAGTGGTTGATGAATGCTATCACTAATATCTAAATACAGAACGTGCTCTTTACTTGGCGGGAGCGTCAATTTTCTTTAAAACCCTTTCAAATATCATGACGATATTATCAGGGTGATAACCGGTTAGAATATAGTAGTTGAATAAAGTAATGGACGTGAAAGTGGCCTCAGTTGTGAACTAGCTCTAATGGTTACAACAGGAGCTCAAAGGAGATATCTAAGTCTACAGACAACCCTCTTAAAACAATTATTTCTTTTGAACCTAAGACAAATACCATAGAAATAATGTTTGAGATTGTATTTTTCATTGTAATACAAGCTTATAATACAGCTCTGGAATATTTTACCTGCTTGTCACAGTTGATTACAACGTTCCTTATGATCTGTTATAAACTCGTGACAAAGTCTATTTTTTGTAGTCTTTTAGTAAAGTGTGGCTGACATATCTTACAATGATAAGAATTTGTTTTCAGGATTGAAACGGAAATATTCGATATATACATTATAATTATATTAATAACATGCAATCAATTTAAAGTAATAATTAATAGTCAATTAACTTTTTATCTTTTCACATTTTCATAAGAAGTTAACTTACAGTATTGCATTTTAAAATAGTCATTAGAATGCCAAGTATAGGGATCGTGGGGTTGAAGGACTTAGGAAAGGCTGATTACAATAACAAGATTAAAAATACATCGGATAGATACTCAATGTTAAAATAACAAGTAAGTTAATGGTTTTTAAACATAAAAATTGTGTTTTTAACCATCTTAATAAGAAATTATACCGACCAAGTGAATTATATAAGTAAGGCACCGGGGCTATACAAATTATTGTTTTATTGTAATTTATTATTCTAGATTGTCTATAGATTGACCTAATCCTTGTCAAAATTAGTAAAAACTTTAAAAACCTTTCCCAATCTAAAGACAATTTTAAATTAATAATTCATAGAATTTAGTTGTGTTTTGCATAACCTTTTCTCTAAAAAGAAACAAACAAATTTAAGACTGTTAACAACCAAAGTCATATTTCTTATAAATATGAGATATTTACTGAATAAAGTAGAATAGATGTCCACCAATTGACTCCGTAAATACTCATAATTCTCCACAATTCTATTCAGCTGGGCAAATAATTAAGGTTTTACTTTTGCTTGTATTATAAAAATTTGTATTTATTTAAAAAGTATGTAAACAAATATATTTAAAGATGTTATTTAAAAATCCTTATGTGATGTGAAACACTGTAAGACGGTTTAAAATGAATAATGGAAAACGTTTCCATTATTTAAACCAATTTAACCAGTTTTTCAAACTTAGGTTTGAGAAAAAACATCCTATGACACTTTGGAAAAGATTTGACAATTCATTATGAATAACGAAGGCATATGACTAATTAAATTTAAGTTATGTCTTCTAGATCACCTTGCCTCTTCAAAACAATAATCATAGCACCAAACAATTCATGAGTCAAATCTCCACCCTAAATCTGGATTTTTAAAAACTTACTCAACCTATTCATACACCTATCCATACGTTTTATAGTCTCAGGGCACATGTTACATTGACTGAAAAATTGTAAAATTATATAAATAAAACTCAGCAATTTTCTAAATGGAAACCAACCAATAATTGAGAAATTTTGGAAAGTTTTGCTGACTTCTATGAGGAAGTCGCCGAGGCCTTAGTCAGTTACATCTGTTGTAAATTATAGTCTAGTCGCTAGTATAAGCAACTCCGAAATATTTTGTAATCTTTTGTAGGACGCTGTGTAGCGGTTAGTAGAAAAGAACACTAGTTGTAACTAAACATGTCTGTTTCTTCTTTTATAAAATGCAATCATTTGTGTCATTTAGGTTAGTTTTAAGGTGGAAGAGAAGTATAACAGAGATCTGATACGCAAGCTGCTATATAACTGTGTTTACATAATTTTTCAGAGTTTTGTGACTGTTTCAATTTAATATGGTAAAATTATATCTGGGAGATGCCTTATGAGGAAAAGATTCTCTGTATTCTTCTACAAAGAATTTTGTTGTTTAACCATATTTGTGTTGTTTAACCATCAAATTATCCATGAACGTTTTAGACTAAGTGAGTATGGTATAATTAATTTCTCCCTTCTGCTGACAAGAATATTTTATCCAAGATTTTTTTGTATGGGGTCATCAAAAAAGTGTTCAGGATTTCAATGTTTATCTACTAAAACACAAACAAGACATCAATCTGAAGTTTTCATCAAACATTCAACAGAAACTGCTATTCTTTAGGGAACCATTGATGACTTGCTATATTTGCAATATATTATGTAACATACCAATCTACTTACTGTATGTTCTACTAAAAAGGTGATGATTCTTTTTTCTGTAAAAATATTTACTCGTAACATTTCTTCAAATATCTGACAAGAAATCGCACAATACTGTTTATTTGAGAATTTGTTGACATTTTGCTTGCTGCAAAGACAATTTCTTATTTTGAGCGGAAACAAGGAATCTGGAGGAAACAAGCAATAAGAGGATATCTTCCTACACTAATCCTAACTTTGTACTTTAGTATCGGTGTTTTAGAATTTAATACGATTTTTATATGGCAGATGGTAAACTCTAGCATCTTAGCGGAGCAACACGTACAACTCTAAGAATAGATCTGAAGCTGAAACTAGAAGTGGATGTTGAACAGTCTTCTGCAGTTAAGATGCAGTCTTCTTCTTTGTTGGTTACTAGAGTATCTTTTAGTATAATATTTTTTTCTCTGTGATATATTACTAGGGGTTTGTAAGAAGCTTGTTACACACAAATATTTATAAGTAGTAATTTTTTACTCCGAAGAATGTTTTCCATAAATTAGTTTTGATACTTCAAAAATCTAAAACATATTTTTAGGTTCATTATTGTTTCTCTCTAATAATTGATTGTTGGAGTGATATTGTTCCTAACAGTTGAAGGAAGATAGTGGGGTATCACAGATTAAGGATAGTCCCCTGCATGTGCCAAATTTTAGAACTTTGTTAAGTAGAGCTTTGAGATCGGTGGTAGATAGTTCCATAAAGAAATGTTATAAATTGATTGGCCAATCATAGCATCACAGTGTTCAATTTAAATGGGGAAGGAGGATACAGTCTTTACCAAACAAATAATCAGATTTCTCTGAAAATGCTTCATTTTAAACATCTACTAAATATTAAAATGTACACTCGAACAAATCACAACTAGTGATGAGATTTTATCAAATGTGTGATGCAAGGTGATGAAACCCTCTTTTTTAATTCACTTGAACACATTTTTCCTATGCAACTGATGGTTATAGTTCAGGTGTTTAGAAGTACAAAATAATGCAAATATAAATCCTATCTAAATATTGTAATACATCCAACTAAAAATCTACCACCCATTTCAATGACACAATAATGCTATGAATAAATGAGATACTACATACTGTATTTACTGTATAACTTTGTAGCATAGGGTTGTATTGAATATATAAATGAATAAATAAAAATGTTGAAAAAAATTACATTTTATTCATACCTATACATACAATAAACAAATTTTGTTTTTATCACCCAGTTCTGGGTTCAGTGCTAAAGAGGGCATTGAAGACAATTACAATTAATGTATGAATAAAACGTATACATTATATCAAATTGGTTTTTTACTTTTTATACCGGGTGTCCAAAACCACCCGTACACCCCTTTCAAAACGATGGAACCATTTCTTACAAACAAAAAATAATACAGAACTAGCTAAATTGGGCACGGTCTACCAAATTGAGATAATTTAAAATCCAAAACCACACCGGAAGTGGATTTTTCAGACCGGAAGTTGACTTTTTTAAATGTAAACTACCAATTTTGACTACAAAGTCGGATTCTACGTTGAAAAATACATAGCTTTTGACTAAAACATTTTTTGAAAAACTTGTTTTCTACCTCTAATGCCCCATTAAAGTCAATAATTTTTAAGTCATTCATCTGTCAAAGTTACTCGAAACAATAATAGAGAAAAACAAATAACAAAGATTACATAAAGACATGTGATACATAGAATCAGCTGTTCAATGTAAACACCTTAGCAATAGAGTAACAGCTGGTCTACACATTGCTTAGTTTCATTTTATTTGAAAATAAATCATTTGTTTTTACATTAAAGGGGTCAAATGTAAAAATCAATAAAAAAAAAAATTAAACTTAGTAATGTGTAGACCAGCTGTTACTCAATTGCTAAGGTGTTTAAAATAAACAGCTGATTTTATTCATCATATGTCTTTATGTAATCTTTGTTATTTGTTTTTCTCTATTATTGTTTCGAGTAACTTTGACACACGAATGACCAAAAATTATAGACTTTAATAGGGGATTAGAGGTAGAAAACAAGTTTTTTCAAAAAATGTTTTAGACAAAAGTTATGTATTTTTCAACGTAGAATCCGATTCTGCAATCAAAATTGGTAGTTTACGTTTAAAAAAGTCAACTTCCGGTCTGAAAAAGCCACTTCCGGTGTGATTTTGGATTTGAAGTTATCACCATTTGGTAGCCCGTGCCCAGTTTAGCTAGTTCTGTATTATTTTTTGTTTGTAAGAAAAGGTTTCCATCTTTTTGAAAGGGGTGTACACCCGTACACCCCTTTCAATTAATTACCAATCAGTTAAACCAGTCTAATTACTGGGTTTTGGACACCCAGGTATAGCTTCTGTCAAAAATTACAATTACAAATCTAATTTCGAGGGGTTAAGGGGGTTAAGGGCAAATCTAAGGTAAAAATCATAAGATTTAGATGTAGTAAAGTAATAGGAATATATTTTTTAAGATTACATAATACTTCTTTGAAGGAATATAACCAGTAAGAACTTATTGGAAAAAATTGATTTTTTTGTATGAAGATTACTTATCGGTACATAATTTAGTCTAACATAATTTCCAACAGCTCAGGGGCTAGAAACTTGAATGTTAATTGTATGAAGAGCTGTGAGGTTGATTTTTTATAATATGCAAAGAACTATTAAAAGCTATTTTGTTTTTCTTTTGCATTGCAGTGTTTTGCCATATTACTTGCGTAAATATGATATGTACACCAGGGAAAAAGTTATTTCTAACAAAGCAATAAACTAACAATAAATAAAATGTTCAAATAAAATATTTCAAAATGAAACAAAACTATCCATATCCAGTGTAACGTCGATGCTTCCTCACGACATCTGAAAAAACATTTTAACAGTTAAATAATTTAAATTTTTTTGTGTTTGATGCTGTTGATTACTTGCTGGAAACCATTAAATTATAGAGCACTTTGTTAGTGTTCAATATGTTTATAAAGGGCTAGGTTGGAAAAGGTGATTATTTACTTTTCCTACAGTTACCAAACAATGTACATGTTCTCTCACTGATTTGAGAAAGCAAAGTGGCCAATTCGCTCATCAGTGAGACAATGTTAACATTGTCACACTCTAATTACTTTGTCTCACTCCAGATTTTCAACGTGAAGGCACGAAATAGTGAGCGCGTAACATGCAGGCAACGTTGTATGCACGCGAAATACGTTGGCAGCACTGGCTGTAAATCAGCTGGCCAGCTGTTGTACTGTTGTATTTGTCACTTCACATTAAATGTTATATTAAAAGTTCACTTCTGTGTAAAAATAGGTTATGTTTCTTCACCAATTTATTTTTTTTATGGTAACTGTAGGAAAAGTATAATGTGCAACTCGAGTTCAAAGTACTATTGCCTCACTTGAGAAACCATTCCTCACTCGCCTACGGCTCGTGATTAAGGATTTCTCTCGAGTGAGTCAATTGCTCACTTTTCTCACTAGTTGCACAAATAACTATTTCTTGAAAGAGAGTTTTCAGAATTAAAGCCAAGAAATTAAACAAAGAATAGGGAGCAATTAAATTAGTTTAAGCTAAGAAGAGATTGTCTTTTTTCATGCAAGAATTAAGATGATAGATGAGCTGGATTAAGACGAACACATATTAATTTAAAAATACATAGTGAAGCTTAGGAGCACAGTTAAGTTGTAACAATGCCTCTAATTTCTTTACCTTATAAAAAAACATGAGGCAGCATGATTTACAGTCACATTAAAAAATACCCCCGCCGCAGCAAACCTGCAGACTAAGCGAATTTCCATCTACACATCTGGAATTCCACTAAATTATTCCCTTAAAATTGTCAGATTTATTTCCTATTTAAATATATCATTAATATTAATGAGTACCAGTACTTAGGTTTGCTGCTACAGGGAAGAAAATAGGGGGTTTTATTGAAATGTTAATAGCTTAGTATTAAGTAAACAAAATTTCAAAATGTCATTAAGATATGTCCATAGACAAGCAAGCTACAACACTGTATTTATTCTCCATAAGAATAACATGGTAATTTTAAATTTACACTATTTTGCGATTTTTCCGTAACCGTTAGGCATGCAACAATGCTTCAATATACTAAATTATTTGTTTTTTGGAGCTCTACAAAATGGTTTAAAAAGAAATTGCAAAATTTTATGTTTTCAAGGTGAAAAATTAGAAAAACCCATTTTTACCCCATAAAACCCCCCATAAACCCCTGTTCCCATAGTCCGATCATGCTGGTTCGCGAACTCGTTCGAATAAATGTAGGTTTACACGTTTATACCAAATTTCATCAAAATCGGATCATTTTTGCTCGAGTTATCGCGCTAACGGACACATATATATATATATATATATATATATATATATATATATATGAATTTGAACGGATGGTGTTTTTGGCCTCTGGGGACCTCAAAACGAAAAACTAAATCGGTCCCGGGTCCAGGTCTTACCATGAGACCTACGGTAATAGCTTATTCCCTATATGGGAAATTCGCTAAAACAAGTGGAAGTAAATGTACAAAAATGTCTATTAGTTAAGCTAAACATGCAATATTAGAAAAGCATTTTAATACTCACAAATAAGCAAAGATAGAAGAGTTTCCATGAAGAACTAGTGCAGAATAGATCAAACTGTGTCCCCTTAAAATTTACAAGAATTGTTAGTTTAATTTTCTTTTGTTGAATGACGAAGGCTGTTAGGTATTTCTATCAGAAAACATGTTGGCTGGCAACACTTCGATCAAGCCTTATTGTAAAGCAATTAATAAGCATTGATTTTTAGTATGAAATTTTTTTTAAACTTCAAGTATAACATGACTGAGGGAACTTGCTACAGTACTGTACTGTTTATTTGTAGCTAGTGTGTTTCATGACTACTTCAAAATATGAAAGAGAAGTCAAGTTTGAAATAAGTAAAATTAATTGGCTGATTCACTTTTGGGGCCAATGCCGAAACAAAGATTTCACAGACTTACACTGTATTGGATACTAGCTTTGACTATGGAGAGAGAGAGAAGTTCACATTCCATTTCCATTTTAAAGTTGTACCTAATTGTCTATAGTGAAAGTGTATGTAGCTGAGTGTATTAAGCCAGTAACAGTGTGCTGGTCTCACTCACTGGTTTCTCTTGTATACATCAACTGTAAGGACAACTTACTGTCAACTATAATATTCTATACCTAACGCATACATTATTACTCAAATAAACACAAAGAAAGAAATTAGTTTTTGATACTAGCCAGTGCCCAGTATATAAAAGTAGGTCATTTGACTAAGTTTGCTTTGAATTAAATATTAGCTACACCTTATCCATATTCCATACACATGGGATGTCTACTTCCATGATACTTGAACCACTTTTGTTGTTGTAAAAAAAAAAAATCAAAGTGCTTTCTTTTTGCAAGCAATTCTTTTGGAAATTTCTTTTAGCAAGAGAGTAAGATGATATAAAAACAAAAATAAAATAAATAATGCGAACCTGGTAGTTTGGAAGTTGGCCTGCATGTAGAGTAACGACGGCCAAAGTTTGTGCCATCGAGTGAACTCCTGCAGTCTTCTTTGAGGTTAAAGTGCAACATGGCGTAATCATCACAATCAGTCACTCCGTCTCTGTTACAGTCCTGTGAAACAACAGACAATCGTCTAGAATACGTGTTTACTCTGCAGAGAAAATCATTATATAATTTAGTTGACATTTTAATGTCACACATGTTAACTGTAATCACAACGATCAATACAGAGAAAGTTTTCAAATGTTGGTTGTTATTACTTATAAATAAACCAGTAATAAAAAAGGTGTTATTAGGTTATGGAGCTGAAAAAGTATATCAGTATAAAGCAGTTAAGTACATATAAGAAGAAACTTTCCATTACCAATGAATTGCTACAATTGAAACAATTAATCTTTCACGAGGAAAGAGGAAAATTCCTAGAAGTTAGAATTTAACCTAAAGTTCTTGGAATGTCCTCTTGATGAGCCTTGATATGTTCTTCACTTCACCTCTGACATATCGTCACAATTAATTAATGGAGAAACTTCCTTCCTAATCAAAGAGGTAGGCCTAGCAAAAATAATATTTCTTAGAACTAGGCCTACAAGAAACATAAATATTAAAAAATTCTTTTACTATTATATCCTAATATCCCAAGTAATCCACATGGATACTCACAGATCCATATCTGATGAAGTATTCTTCTAAAATGTGTTGAGCACACGTGTAGTCCATAGCACAATCCAAGAAAGCTGGAACAGATGCACACGTTCAGATAAAAATAATATGTTTTTTGGTCGAGTAATACTGTAGGAGTAGATCAAAGAATCATGATGCTTGCCAAATCAGTGTGTGCATACATTTCATTAAAAACCAGTATTATGAAAATCGGTAAGTTAGAAGAGCCAAACGAACTCCAAAACAAACTCGGAAAAGAAAACCCAAATTTAACTCCCGTAAGAAATGTACAGGGAAGTTGCTTTTGTGCATAGTTTGAAGTGTACCGTACGTAAGATAAATGAATGCCGATGCTTGATGGCAAATCTGTGCGTGCATACCTTTACCAAAATATAAAAATCGGTCGGGTAGAAGAGCTTCCCAACTTGGGAAAAAACCAATAATTTTTAATTTATAGATTCTGGTTTTAGTTGGGAGTTTATTAAAGTAATCATGTTAATACCACAGGATGTTTCATATAAATTTACTACCGGTAACCATAGTTTGTTTTTACTTTTGGCTGAGATCTAAATCTAATCTAAAAAAAAATAACCTTACACACTACAAACATTTTTATTGATTGAAAAGCCATTCTAAATATCTATGTGTCTAAAATTGAAACAGTCATCTATAAAAAATTGTTGTTATTGCAAAGAGCTCACTTTTAATGGATTTACAACAGGGTGGCTGAAAAGTCTGTACCTAATTTTAAATGTTCATCACCAAAACCCCATATGGTTTTCGTAGCTCATATTGTCAGCCAATTTGATGCCATTGTTGGCAGTTCATATTGTAAACTGATTGATGCTTTTAAGTCTGCTATTATATGGCTGGTGTTTTGAACAGACCTGATTTTGGCCCGACACCCGAAGGTAACTTTTTTACCTGACTCGATATAAGGAAATTTGGTCCGCAGTCCTCTAAAGTAATAGTATTAGTGAATGGATTATTGATTAGCTAATGTTCTAGCCTTGTAGGTTTATTCACCCATTTTATCGTTAAAAAAATGGTCGAGTTTATTCAGTTGAATCAACATAGAGGGGCCACGGTGTGCTCCGCCAGAGAGCCACATAGGGTCTAAATATGGTCCTATTATAGCGTCTTCCGCAGGCCATGGTCACCAGTTGATGCAACCCAATTGACTGCGGACAATTTTTTGACAGGTTTGTAGAGAATTTCTATCTATTGGCCCAGTAGTGTTAGTATATTGTCAGTTAAAGTCTGTTGTGAACTACTTGTCCTAGCGCTCTTACTGGTTTTAACAAAATTCGTAAAAAAAAACGTATGGCAATATTCATATAAACATTGTAATCATAATAATTGTGTGGCAGGGCCTGTCGTGGGTCCAGGTCCCGGTAAAATCTCGCAAAATATCCCGTTCAAGGCTCGCAGGCCCTGGGTGCACGCGCCCTGGGTAATCGCCGCCATATATTATTCGTTCCTCGATGGTGCAACGCACATGATTACTTTTCCACTCACCATTTTCTCTGGAAGGGTCATCCTCGGGAGGGACGTAGTGTCCGGCGTCGCGCCAGTAGAGACGGTTGATCTGGAACGGGCCGCAGAATCCGTCAATGCAGCCGAGGGTCTGGTTACAACTACTGGCTGCGTGACACAGACAACGCAGACAGATGGGTGTCAGGTTGGACACAAACACTGAGTCACTGCTATATGCTGGAACACGACAAGACACTTTACATCTTCTGTCCAAATATAGCTAAGTGTTTACAGTACTTGCCATGATCATTGGACTTTTAATAAATCCTGGCTACAGAAACAGCTTGGTTAGTCGGTATTAAAGCTAGAGAAAGAATCTCTGTCCATTCTACACTAATTTAAACCCAGTAATGTTTAGGTAGAAATACAACCAGTTATTAGGAGTTCCCAAAGTAATAGAAGTAAACATCCCATTTCTATTCCCCATTAAAGCTGTAGCCACTGTTTGAATAAAAGTTACTGTAGCTGAATTGAGCCCCTGACACAGTGTATTGATTTAAATTACCAATTTCTGTAGAGTAAGCAAACATTTCATATAAGCCAAACTGAAAGGACAGTTGATTATGAAAAATACTTGAAAACATAATCTTTCGTGTCATGAAACAATACCAGAAAAGAGGGTGACGAAAACTAAAGGATTGAAATATAACTTACTGGAACCAAAATTGTGAGAAGATCATTTGACAAGGGTTTTTTTTATAAAAAAGAGTTGCATATGGTCCAAAGGTGGAATTTCTATTGGGACACCAAAAACAATGTTTCATGAACATAATCCATAGGCCCTACTGAAACTGCCACAACAATTAGAAAGGATTATAAGGGTGTTTTTGAATGGGGTAGAAAAACTGAAACTGCCACAGAGGATTCTTCAGGTGGACGGGGAGAAACGGGAGACTTATAATTCCCATTTCTGTCTTGGATGATGAACATGATTGGAACAAATATGTGTTTGATTTGGACTTTGGTATTATTTATATTTTAGGAGTTTATTTTTATGATACCGTAATTTAAGCTTTGGGTGATGCGACTGTTAGAGCTTTTAATAAACTGAACCTCACTTAAACATTTAAGTACCTACTTACTTTGTCTCATGTGAAAACATTTACTTTTCTTTTAGTACTGCATTTAAATTGTATGGTTCAATAGTAATATATGTACGAATGAACAAACAAAAGTAAGGTGTACCTCAAGACACGTATGTATGCATTATATGATACTGTTGTTATAGTTTTGTTTTGACGATGTCAATATACACCTTTGTATATTGTTAAACTTAAAATTCAGTAAATACGAGGGAAACGTTGAAATATAATGATAAAAATAAGTTTAACGATTTCTTTACGCTAGAAATGCACTATAACGGGTTAAGAGCTGCCATATCTTTAGTAAGAACAATTTTACAAACCACTACAATCTTAATCCTTCATAAAATTATTTCTGCTTTCATCGGTAAATTAAACTAGTTTTTCTATCGGTAATTGATTTAAGTAAACAAATTGTATAATCTTTTAAAGTAGCGAGATGTAAAAGCATTTAACTAAGTAATGAGTGATGTAAAGTGTTCCGTTTCAAACTCGTCGTTGTCTTGAATAAGAAGAATCAGGGATTTTCTCATCCCTGTTTCTCCCTGCACGTTGCCAAACTCCCCTCCCTACCTAAGGAAGCCGCTGTGGCAGCTTAGGTATTTCTATCCCACTCGAAAAAATCCTTCCTAATTGCTGCGGTAGTTTCAGTATGGATTATGATCATAAAATGTCATAGCAGTTTCTGTACGCCCTTTCTACTTCAGTACCTACCGGTAACCTGATGTCAATGGCTAAGCTAAAGTCAGTTAAAAAAAAAATAACGGGGTTGTGGTTTAATAGCTGCTGACGTTATTTGCAGCTCTTAATTACTGATTTGATCCCCTTTTAACCAAAAAATCTGTGATGACAAACAGTGCCGGATTTACCACCAGGCCGCAAACAAAAGGGGGCCGCAGAGGATTGACAAAAATGTATTTTCAGTACAAACAAATTTGAATTTTTTGAGCATCAGTTTGATAATGATAATGTCCCGCAATTGTGGCCTGTGGGGGATATCCCCGATTATGCCGTAGTGGCGAGTGTCAATGATGATGTCCCCGTAATTGCGGCTCACAGCAGATGTTCACGATTTTGCTGCAGAAGTGGGTGTCAGTGACGATAATATTGTCGTCTTTGTTTTAGGTGAGTGTTCACAATTATTCCGTGATCGTGGTTGACAATGATGATTTACCCGTGATCGTGGCCCGCGGGAGAGGCTCACGATTTCATCCGCGATTGCTGGTGACGATGTTGATGATGACTGTGGGAGATTTTTATGATTTCACCACTATTAGAGGGAATTTCATCACAGGGTTGGGGGCTGCTCAATTAATTTTGCCTAGGGCCGCAAGTACCTTAAATCCGGCACTGATGACAAAGAAGTAACACTAGAGTTAACTATAAAATCTTTTATGTCACATCAACATACAACTAAGGGAAAATATAATTTTGACAGTTTAGTACAAATATTGGCTCACTTAGCAATGTTCTAGTGCAATAAAAAGGTTTTCTGCAGCTGGCCCATCCACATGCGAAGTCTGCTTCAGTATTGCTACTGAATCAGTTGAGTTTTAATCAGTGTATCCACATGAAAAAAAAAATTATCCAACTTACTTGGCCGATAAATTCCATTTAATCCCGCTGTTTAATTATTATGTACCGGTATCATGTTTAAATAGTTGTTTAAACATTGCTATTATATTTTGCTACAGTAGTTTAATCAATTGGAGTTAGTTTATCTCTAAAATTATGTAGAAAAAATATACGTCAAAGCGGAAAATCCAGTTTATCCCGCACATGGTCTAAAAATCCTGCTTTAGGGATAATAATCCCACGTATGGAAACAGTGTACATAATGTACACAACTGCAACAGTTCATAAAATTTTGTATAATTAAATAATATATAAATAGCTTATTACCAGTCAATTAAGCCCAAAAACCTATTTAAAATATACTATGTTTAAAATCTATTTCAAACACAAGCTAAAGTAAAAATAATTATATATATCCAAACATAATCTCAAAAAGTAATTTACCCAAATTAAATTTCATATACTATAAATTGGCCTAAGTGACTAAAAAGTAACAGTGAACATCAAGATCTAGAAGACCTGAATACATTGTTGCTGAAAAACATGTGTTAGGTAACAACTGGATTTCCTTCTTCTACCATGAACTAGCCTGATGAAAGTGTAAAAACTAGTTTGTATGATTTTTATATTATAATATTTTCTAGTAAAAAGTGATAAGCTAAACCAATAGTCTAATTATTTCAAATAGTTTAAACAAGAAGAAATATGGAAACTTGGAAGAATCTTGGTAATCTCCATCTTATTATTACAGACAATTATATTTAAGTGTTGGACAATTTGAGAACATTAGCCTAATTCTGAGGTGGATCGAGTAGCCTCCTAGATGTTAAAATTTATATTCTTGATTCAAGTAAAGACTTTTGTTTTAGAACAATCTTATCCAAATTCTATATAAAATTATTTAGTAAAAAAGAAATCAAAGGCTAACTTTATTATCATAAAAAAAAGTTTCAAATAGGCTATTAGCAAGGAAATTGGTAATAAAAGAGAGTTCCAAGCACGAACCTAAAAACCCTGAGCTTGCACAACATACACACATGTACATACATGTACACATACATATACATACACGAACATACATGTACACATACATACTGTGTCCTGGAAATGAAAAGTTCTTTTATTTGACTTAGTGCTTTCATTAGACATTGAATCGAAGCTGGGCTATGGTGTTGCCCCCTTATGGAAATGTTTTTAAATTGTATATACAGCTTTATCTGATGGGATTTATAATTTAAAGAAATTGTCAACAGCTAAACATTTTATCAAGATCAATAGATTTTTGGGTTATGATATACTAATGAGTTTGTTTTGTAATTTTGTTTTCTTTCAAATCGAATGGCCTAGAATTCATAAACCAATTTACAAGCCGATTCTGTTTCTTCTTATAAAAATGTATTACCGCTCATATAAAATGTCAGTATACCCCTGAAAGATGTTTTCAGCAACTTGTTTGTTTTGGTTTCTAAAGATCAGTTTAAATATTTTGTTTATATTTTTTTGATTAATTTTTACTATTTAGGAAAAGTCATATTTTCTGTAGGATGCCACATATGTAAATAAGTTTACAAAATTAAACCCTACTAATATGTTCTATTGAGATCCCAACAAAGTTATCAATATTTCTTTTGAATGAATTACTGTAATAAAACATAAGTTATGAATAGAGCTGTGTTGTATTTCTAATCTACTCTAACTTAACCAAAGTAACATAGTTCTGCTGTACAGAAAATATGTCTCAATACTTTTCAATTGCAAATTCAACAAAGTAAATAAACATTGGCTTTCAGAAACACCACCAAAGAAAAATTAGAATCATCTTAAAAAAATGTCAACTATCCCAATTGATCATCTCCCTTGTTAATGTCATTACCCATGTATTTTGCAAATCATTTTGGACCTTGGTGCATTTGTCATTTTCACAGTAATCTGTTTTAAATTATTATAATTTTGAGTCAGCTGCCGATTAGGAAGCATTAAAGGGGACTGATTCGCAAGGAGACTTCAGCAAAATAGTTACTGAAAGGAATTTTACATGATGGGAATAGGTCAACTTGATAGTGGCTGGTTTCAGCCAAGCCGCCATAAATTTACAGAAACCGGCCATAATTAAAATTTGATTGACAAACTTATTGAACTATTTTTACTGTAACATAATACGAATCACACCTGATAACCCTTCCTCTATGGAATAACAGGAACATGACTCCAAACAGCTTGTTCAAAGAGTCACAAAATGACAATTGACAATAACTTAAATTAAAATATAATATAAGCAGGAATCGTAAACGTCTGTAAACAAAAGAATAAAGCTATTAAAATGCATGCAGCGCTTACCAACGACGAGCAGGACTATTACAACAGCTGATCGTGCGACAATCATGACAAGTATATCAGCTGACGACACTACTGAAACTGAGACATGTCTGTCTGAGTCTGATGTCTGCTTCACAAAGTGAGGTTATGTTACTTCTGTTTCCTCCAATGAATGACGTCACTCTGCTAGGAAGAACACCTTAGATGTGTGGAACTGGTTTAGAATGTATTAATTTCGGGATTCCCTCGGGGTCCTGTACTTTGAACTCTCCCACTACCCACGAATATATTATATTTAGACACTGATTTTCACATCTGTAGAAAGAGAAATCAGCCTCCAGTGTTCAAGGTCATCAACAAAACTGGATGCAATAAACGTAAACAACGTAGGAAGTAATCATAAGCTAATATGCGAATCGTGCTGTTACGTGTGATTATTCCCACTTGCAGACGTTATTTCCTGCAGATCGATTACGTTGGAATCCAGGAATTATCTGGGAATAAAGGTCCGAATCAAATTTGATTAGAGGAAGGAAAATACTGCAAATTCTTTTATTTCACACAATGTTAAATTTTCACTTTGAAGTCATAAAGTTAGTGAACTTTTAAACATTTGTTGTGGTGCATTACTTCAGAAGGAGAAATAATACAGTAATTTAGTTTACTTCACTAGACGGAATAATATATTCAATCCTTATATTCGATTTACCACGGCATAAAATAACATGTTAAAATAAAATACCATTAAAATAACATGCTGAGATTTTGTCGCCCAGTGGCTATGGCTGGTGCCGGCATATAAAAAAAATGTTAAATTATAAGAACTATTTTTTTCCAATACCCCCTATGCCCTTTTGTTCGCTTTATTTCTACAGAATCTAATTTTTGTTTTGTTATAGTTAGTAGTAATGTTTGCTGTATTATATTTAAGTTAAAAAAATACAATGTACTTGTATGTATATAATTAATGAAAAATAAAATATTATTTCATTTCATATAATTTTTTTTTATGATTCACATTTTAAATGTATTGGAATCTAAAAAATAACATTATGTAATTTTAGATTGTTGAGCTATGCTTTTGGCCCAAGAGGTTGATAATAATCCCTCTAGTTCATAACCACCCTCATAATCTTAACAGGTGAAGGGGGCCTTGACCTGTTACCAACATTCTAGAATAGCTTAAGTAATTAAGTGAGATTATATGGACTAATTACAAGCAATATATTCAAAAAATTCATTAAAAATTACATAGAAATGAGTGATTTTCACTTTAATTTATGCAAAAATTTCTGGGGAGGAACCCCCGAACCGTCTACTTTTTGATGCGGTAAGTCCGGCACCACTGTCACCCATTGGGTGTATGTAAATATGCTCTGACATACATCGAAATACAATGTGCTAGTAATTCCAATACACAGTACAGTACGGGTACGGAGTAGTGTAACATGTTGTCCTAGCTGAAATATTGCCAACACTAATTTAATTGTTCTTGTAAAAATAGATTGGAGTTTAAAAGAATCTTATAATATACTGTAGTACATGCAGAACTGTGAAAACACACACACACTGGGTACTGCTACTTGTAAAAACCCTTTAATAAAAAAACATCTATTTGATTATAAATTACTGTGTAGGTAATATTATTTGTACAGTCTCAGAAAAAGTGGGTTTCTATCTTCTATCTTTATTGGGGTTTGATCACAGTATGAAATTTTTATTGGGTAATTATAAAAGCTTAGCTAAAATATTTTTTAAGGATACTTTTTTTACCATCCATTAAAAAATTGTAGGACTGTATTGTGAATTAGTGATACTGTAGAAACCTACGATTGAAAACAAAAGCATTTAATTTTGTCTCCTTTTTGGTCTGTACATAAGTTTTTCTTCTAATACTTTGTTTAACATAATATTACTAAATACTAACCACATGTTATATTTATTATTAATTTTTGTAAACAGTTTTAGTATAAAACACATTTTTTCTTCACATAGCAGTGAGTTTCATTTTATCTACATTGTTTTTCAATTTAAAAAAGGTATTTCAAGAACATCAGTTCACCACATATCAAATACTATATGTAATGTTTTGTGTCAATAAATACTGTGAATATTGTATTGTAATGTTGGTAAATATTATAGTGGTAGTCAAAAACACCATACTTTTACATGGTTTTATAAGATTTAGTGCTCTGCTCGCCATGGAATCAGAAGGTCTGGTTTGATTCCAAGCATTTTTGAGTCTTGATTGACCACCATTTGTCATCGGGCTGTCGATTGATGACTATCAATTAAATTCAAAACAAATCCAAAGATCGAAATATTCCATCCAGCCTGGACAAACAAACAAGTCAGCAATAAGTCTTGTTGTCTTGAAGTGCCTAATCTATTGCTAAACTCAACTTCCCAGAAGACGAACAACTGTTGTCTGTTGTAGACCAGATGTTGTACATTACTGCAATTAGTCCAAGAATCTCCGCATCAAATGTGCAACGAATTGGAGCTGTTAATAACACTAAAACTCTCAATGTTGGCTTTATCATGCATGGTTTTATTTTTGTACCATAAGCAGATGATGAATTTGTGTGAGAAAATAAAAAAGCAAAACAAGTACCATAGCTAGAAAGTTTGACTGTTGAGTTTTATATCATCAAAATCATCTTTTTCTTAAAGCCGATCTTAGCTAGGCTATAGTATTTAAATAAAAATATTTCCTTCTAATCGAAAAATGTATTAGTGGTACAAAAATACACTAAACACGGAATTTTTATACTCATATTGATTACCGTGATTGGAAATTTTACTAAAACCACTATAAATTTAATTTTAATAGTGTGTTTCTTATAATAATATATTTTACTGTTGGGGTTTTAAAGTCCAGGGCAAGAATTATTCTAAATGTACGATTGTTTTGAATATTAAAATTGACAAAATAACATATTAACTGACCTAGCTATTCGCTGAGAATCTTTAATCTCAAGTAAGCCATTAGATAAATAGGCCTATTTGTGTCTTCTTGTAAAAAGTCTTGTTGAGTAGTACCATAGATTAAGACAGGTAGTCTTCTCATCCCATTGTAAACTTTGAAACTATTTTTTTTGTGTCTTAGTTCATGTCCGGTGACACTGATCGCTAGTGTCATTGAAATTTGTTTCTATTATTTTAGGGTTAATTTAGTGATTTGTGCTTTAGTGCTTGGTTATATAACTAGGAGATTTCTCGTCCTTGGTTAATTCAGCTGAAGACAATTTCATTGTTAGTTCGGTCTGGTCTGCTGTGTGTTTGTTTATGATTTGTTTCTTGTTATTTCAGTTATTTAAAACCTTGTTAAACCAATTAAATTATTCAATTTAAAAATAACTCGTACCCTCCTAGGAGGACACTAGCGATCAGTGTCACCGGATATGAACTAGACACGAAAAATGAGCTTCAAAATTTTAAATTGGATCAGAAGTCTAAAGTTGGTTAGTCTTTGGTAACACCACAAACAAAAAAGTAAAGTTAAAGTAAAATTGAATAAGTTGAATAAGTTAATAAGTTGAAGTAAAATTGTATATGTCAATTACTTAAAAAAGAAACAGCCAGACCTATGATTAAACCTACCATAATTGGAAGTTAAAAATCAAGAAGAATTGGATATTAAAACAATTCACTTTTTGAGCTTGTATAGATGTATTTATTCTAAAATATTTGCAAACAGTCTATAAAATATGGACAATATACTTCATCAATGTGAGCTTATAGAAATTTGTGCATTTAGTGCATGTACAGATGGTTTTTGGATTTTGGAAATACCAAAACCTAAGGCAGTTACTTAATTAGCGTTTGTAAGTTATGTCTTTTCAATGCAACATCTATTTAAAACAATACAGATAACACATTTTCAGTTGTTACAGTTTAAGCTTGAAATGGAATTATAAACCGTCGTATCAGTATAGTTTTTAACACTACTTTAATAAGATGAAACCAGAGAAATGCAAGAAAAAACAAAATTATCTAAATACATTTTGTATAAATAAAAATCCATGTTTTGATGCTCTAAAAAACCAAATGGTAAATATTGCCATATTGGATGCTGAACATTTTCTAGCCTTTATTCAATTACCTTATATAATTTTAATTTGAAATACAACAATAATAAATAGAACATTGCCTTCAATAGAAATAACAAAGGATGTTAGTTTCTTGATCACAAACATCAAAATAAAATATAATAAAATAAAATTTACATATGTTTACAATTACTCAATTCAAAAAATTTAATTAACAAGTCAAAATAAACTATAAATCTCATTTATCTGACTTTGGATCACTGGGCATGATGCAAAGCAGAAATTCACAAAAAAATATATAATGAAATAATTTACAAAACTATTTAAAATAAATAAAAATACCTAAATATAGTAAGTACATAAAATATAGGTAAACAAATTTGAAACTAATGTTAAAAATACACAGGGAAAAATACTTTGAAAATTTCACAATCAACCAACAAGTAAATCTTTACCAACTTTTTTGTTAAAGTTCATTACTGAAATATTGCATATAAATCGTGGAACAAAAAAAAGAATTTATAATTAAAAAATTATTCTAAAATCAGGCTCAAATGAAATTAAGAATAGCAAGTGATAAAAACATTAAAATATAGACCATTTGATTGAAGGGGCTCTAAAATAAACTAATAATCTAACTAACAAGCAATATTTTGTAGAAAATCTATTATTTTTTTTATAAACAAATATTTTCTTTCATCTAAAAGTCTAAAGTATGAAACCCACATCAAAATGGTATGATAAAAATGCATGTAATGTTGCCAAAATTTCTATTGAACTCAATAGAAGTTACAATCACCCGTGACAATTTTCATCAGACCACTTTTGAGGGGTCTAAAACAGTTATATTTTAAATAATTTAAATAAGTCTTTACACAGGTTTTGCTTGTAAAACAAGAAAAATGTTATGTTTTCCAACTGTAATTTGGCAAAGTACGCAGCACACTGATGATGAGTTCTACCATAGATTAAGCATATGTTTAATCTATGGTCCTACTGTAACATAATTCTAAAATGCTGAAAACACCACAAGCCTAGCAATCCCTAGTTCTCTCTGCTACACACTAACACTAAGTATGTATTGCACTTATACTGTAATTAATCCTAAGTGAACACATTGAGGCTAAGTATGGCTCAACCATTGACTCTAAACTCATCTACAGTTGTTTGGTAGGTTTGTTTTTTATTTATACCTCATAAGCCACATAAGAAATATCCAAGTGATATGTGTATTAAAAACAATG